AAATGTATAATCAAATTGCAGCAAAAAAATTGTAGTTATCCTTCCAAAACAGCATCTTAAGTGTAGCACACCTACAAAGTTATTGCATAGAATGGCCATAATTTGCATTAGATTGTTCTGGGGTCTTGTGTATTTCCATTCTTTTTCACTTAATATCACCAACACAACAGCCTGGAAAATCTTAGGTTAGAAGCTGGCACCATTTTTCTTTGTAGGGACTTCTAGTCCCCATAAATACTGTATCTGACAACCAATATCCAGGCTATGTTGAGGTCCTGTAAACGACTGCAGGGAACTGCTAACTCAGAAAGGTTATCCTGCAGCACCCATTAGCATGTAAATACCGCATTTAACCATATCAGGAAATAATTCAAGATTGTACCAATGGCCATGCTGGTCATGGTTTAACCCAGCAGACCTATCTCTAAACTGCCCATTAGGCACTTAATTTTGAGAAGGGCATAGAAAGCTAAGCTTATTAAAGCACCAGCTTTTATATTGTTCAATAGGGTTTTATCAGCCCTGCATAATAATAGCCCACACACATACAGGTAGTCCTCAATTTACAACAGTTCTTTTAGTGACTCTTCAAAGATATAACAGCACTGAAAAAGTGACTTATGACCAGTTTTCACACTAAATAAGATATAAGGTGTGGCAGCTTCCCCTTAGTCCTGTGATCAAAGTTCAGATGCTTGGCAACTTACTCATATTAATGAGTGTTTCAATGTCCTGGGGTCATGCCCTTTAATGTGGGAAGCTAGATAAAACTTAATACATTCCTAACTTACTTAACAGCAGTGATTTACTTAACTGTGGCAAGAAAGGTCATAAAATAAGCAAATCTTGCTTAATAAAATGTCTCTCTTGGCAACATAAATTTTGGGCCCAATTGTACTCCTAAGTCGAGGACTACCTTGTATATATTCTTCTGTTGAATGCCTTGATCTCACTTAACTTAAATTTTGGGCTCAATTATGCTCATAAATACAGGTAATCCTTGACTTAAAACAGTTCGTTTAGTGACTGCTGCACTGAAAAAGTGACTTATGACCATTGCAGCATCCCAAGGGCCATGTGATCAAAATTCAGATGCTTGGCAACTGACTCATATTTATGATCATTGCTGTGTCCCAAGGTCACGTGAATCCCATCAGATTCACTTAACCGGGTTACTAACTTACCACCTGTGGTGATTCACTTAACAGTGGCAAGAAAAGTTGTAAAATGGGACAAAACTGACTTAAAGGTCTTAACAGAAATTTCAGGATCAATCGTGGTCGTTAAGTTGAGGGTACTTGAGGGTATATATTCCTTGGTTTTAGTGCCTTGATCCCCAAGCTCTAAATTTTAAAAATTCAGATCCGAATGATGCAACACTGATTTATACCTTCCACATCACCTTTTTTTAATCTTATCAATGAGCAATGCAACGGAATTGCAGAGACAGAGGGAGGGGGGAGAGAGAGGAGTGGGAAAGAAGTAGGTCGATGTTTTATAGAGGGTGAGAGACAAGACACAGAGATATATACAGAGAGGGGAAGCAGAAAATAGGTAGGTAGGGAGAGAGAAAGAGATGAAGAAGATATATATACAGTTGTGCTCATAAGTTTACATACCCTGGCAGAATTTCTTGGCCATTTTTCAGAATATGAATAACACAAAAACTTTTCTTTAGTGTTCTCATTAGTGTTTGGCTGAAGCCATTTATTATCAATCAACTGTTTTTACTCTTTTTCAATCATAATGACAACAGAAACTACCCAAATGACCCTGATCACAAGTTTACACCCCCACTTCTTAATACAGCCTTTAATATTAATGACAGTTTGAAGTCTTTTGTGGTATGTGTGGATGAGGCTCTTTATCTTTTCAGATGGTAAAGCTGTCCATTCTTCCTGGCAAAAAGCCTCCAGGTCCTGTAAATTCTTGGGCTGTCTTGCATGAACTGCACGTTTGAGATCTCCCCAGAGTGGCTCAATGATATTGAGGTCAGGAGACTGAGATGACCACTCCAGAACCTTCACTTTATTCTGCCTCCAGTATCTTTTGATAACATTCATCATGCCATCAATTCTGACCAAATGTCCTGTGCCTTTGTAGCTCACACATCCCCAAAACATCAGCGATCCACCTGTGTTTCACAGTACGAATGTGGTGTACTTTTCATCATAGGCCTCTCCAAATGTAGCGTTTATGGTTGTGGCTGAAAAATTCAATTTTGGTCTCATCACTCCAAATGACTTTGTGCCAGGTTTGAGACTTGTCTCTGTGCTGTTTGGCCTATTAGCGGGATACTTTGTGGCTGCGGGGATACTTTGTGGCATTTGCGCAGCCCATCTTTCTTCCAGTGCCTCCTTATTGTGCATCGTGCATCAGCCACACCACATGTTTTCAGAGAGTCCTGTATTTCACCTGAAGTTATTTGTGGGTTTTTCTTTGCATCCCGAACAATTTTCCTGGCAGTTGTGACTGAAAGTTTAGTTGGTCTACCTGACCGTGGTTTGGTTTCAACAGAACTCCTCATTTTCCACTTCTTGATTAGTCTGAACACTGCTGATTGGCATTCTCAATTCCTTGGATATCTTTTTATATCCCTTTCCTGCTTTATATAGTTCAACTACCCTTTCCCGCAGATCCTTTGACAATTCTTTTGCTTTCCCCATGACTCAGAAACGTCAGTGCAGCACTGGATGAAGGATGCAAGGGTCTGTCAGGCGGCCAGAAACTCATTGACCTTTTATACACACAAACTAATTACCTGCAAACAGATCACAGGTGATGGTTACCTTTAATAGCCATTCACACCCCTTTGGATCAACCTGTGTGCATGTTATCAGGCCACAATCACCAGGGTATGTAAACTTTTGATCAGGGTCATTTGGGTAGTTTCTGTTGTCATTATGACTGAAAAAGAGTAAACACAGTTGATTGATAATAAATGGCTTCAGCCAAACACTAACCATGAGTGAAATAAAGGTTTTCGTGTTATCATTCATATTCTCTGAAAAAATGGGGAGGAAATCATAAATTCTGCCAGGGTATGTAAACTTATGAGCGCACCTGTATATTCCTCGGTTCTAGTGCCTTGATCCCCAAGCTCTAAATTTTAAAAATTCAGATCCGAATGATGCAATAACACTGATTTATACCTTCAACGTCACCTTTTTTTAATCTTATCAACCAGCAATGCAACAGAATTGCAGAGAGACATGGAGAGACAGAGAGGGGGAAAGAGGTAAGTAGATGTTTTAAGAGGGGGAGAAATGAGACAGAGATATATACAGAAAGAGGGGGGAGCGGGGAAATAGGTAGGGAGAAAGATATATATATATATACACACGACGCTATAGAGCACTGCACACCAATACTAGAAACTACCCGAATGCCATCACTGTGCTAAACAAATCCCTCAACAAACTATTTACTAAGCCTGCATTACTAATCTTCTCATCCTTCCCACCACCCATCTCCTTCCACTATGACTGTATCCTTAAGATTTATATTGATATTGTTTTCCTGATTGCTTATTTGTAGCCTGTAATTATCATTAAGTGTTGTACCTTATGATTCTTGATATCTTTTATCTTGGTATCTTTTATATACACTGAAAGCATATCCACCAAGACAAATTCCTTGTTTGTCCAATCACACTTGGCCAATGAAAAAATTCTAATTCTATATATAGAGAAGTAGAGATAGAGCTATATAGAGGGGTAGAGAAATAGAAACCTAGTAGTCACCCTAGGAAACCTTATACCTTATTTAATGGGACAAATACTCCTTTAGCGAAGAGGTTTACTTTAGAAGGAAAAACACCCTAATCCACTGCCCCCTCCTCCCTCAAATGGGTTCAACCTACAAATACCAGAAGTCCTAATTAATGCAAATAAACAAGCGCCAGGCGGGGAGGGGAGGTTCACTTACACTCGCCTGGGAGGAAATCCTATTGAGAAGCGGAACTTATATAGTCTAAGGTGGTACGCGGAGAGGGATCCGGCCGTCGAAATCCATAACTAACTGAGTGCCGCTCCCTTCCCGAAAGGCTTTGGGAGGCTGAGCTGTTTATCGGAAAGTCGTATATATATTTTTTTCCTGTCAGCACCTCCCTTTATTAAACCTCGATTTCTCGGGCGCCGAAAGCGCCCCCTTCAGCCGCCCCCACTTCCGCCGCGGAGCCACCCTATCTCCTCTTCCGGCGATTAGTCGGGGCCCTCCTCACGGCCCCGCGCCTCGCCACAATGGCCAACAGTGACGCCACCCCGAGCCCTGTCCGAACAGGAGCAACTAAAATATCCGCGAATAAAGACGGGAATAAAAATCTTAACAATTTATTAAGAGTAAGGTTAATCGTCATCTGTTCATCAGCTTACCGCTCACTCAGGAACCCAGAAGGAAGGAAATAAATAATATCGGGGCGCGGTGACAACGCAGCAAATTTCCAAAGACTTTCTTCTTCGCAACTGTCTGCCCAGCAACCCGTCACTGCTATTTATAGGGTTTCGTCTTGGTCGCCCCGCCCTTCAGTGCGCTTTAATATCCTTCCGCGTGAGGAAATAGTCCCTCCAAAGAACGCCCTTAAAGAGCGGATTCTGCGTCTCGATTTCCTCTCGTTCGACGAAATTTTTTTTTAAAAAAACTAAATTAAATGATATATGCTTCCCTGTTAAATATCCGGTCTCCGAAGGGATGAGTTGGAGGCAGTGAAAGGAGGAAGGATATGAAATAGAGGTAAAAAGTCCCTTGTCGTCGAAAGAATAATTCTACGAAGGTGGGGCTAAAACGTTGCTGTGCCGCCATTGGTGGGAGACAGAAAGATCGGACGCTGATTGGCTTCCGCAAGATGCAATCGATAGGAAAGCTCTGGAAAGATCGGGGACTCTGCGCCTGGGCGGTTAGGAGTAGGGGGAGCAATATCCCAGAAAAGCCCGCCTCTGATTGGTGCGTAGTGAGGTCATTCTTGTTGCTAAGGCCTTCGGTCCCTGAGAAGCAGATTTCGAGAAAGGGCAGGAAGGAAGAAAGGGAGGAGGACGGCCTGTTGGCGCATGCGTAGAAGAACCAAGTCGATGGGGGATGGGAAAGTAGGGCTGTTTTGAGGGCAAAGGGCGGGAAAACGTCTCTGAGGCGTTTAATCATTGATCAAGAGTGAAACTATATAAAGAAAAAGAAAGAAAAGTATGCATAAAACATTTTTTTTGAGTTAAAAATCAGTATATTTTAAGTTCAAGGTGGTTTTTTTCCCTTCTGCCACTGCTTTTCTGAAGAGGAAGTTTAACTGCCTTGAGGGGAATAAGCTAAATTTTGTTTTCCTATTTCAGCATAAAAGTTCCTTTTTTGGGATACCAAATATGGTTTTTAAAAAGGCATTAACGTAGCTTCTTCTTTCTTTCAACAGTAGAAAAACAAAAAGGAAAGGAAAGGGACATGAGAAAGGGAAAAGGATAGGAAGGAAGAAGAAAAGGAAAATGAGAAAAGAAGGAAAAGAAGATGAGAAAGGGAAAAATGAGAAGGGAAAAGAAAAGGAAGGGAAAAGAGAAAAATGAAAGAAAAGGAAGGAAGGGAAATGAGAAAGGGAAAAAATGAGAAGGAAAAAAGGAAAAGAAGGAAAAATGAGAGAAAAAGAAGGAAGGAAAATGAAGGGAAAAATGAGAAGGAAAGAAAGAAGGAAGGGAAAAAACAAAAATGAAAGAAAAGGAAGGAAGGGAAATTAGAAAGGGAAAAAGGAAAAGAAGGAAAAATAAGAGAAAAGGAAGGAAGGAAAATGAAAGGGGAAAAATGAGAAGGAAAGAAAGAAGGAAGGGAAATAAGAAAGGGAAAAAAATGAGAAGGGAAGGAAGGAAGATTAGAAAGGAAAAAACCCAAGAGGGAAGGAAAATGAGAAAGAGAAGGAAAAAGAGAAAGAATGAAATGTAATAGTAACACTCTAAAGAGCCTTTTCTTAAAATGCCAAGGCCCTCATGTGATAGATAAATAGTTCTGAAAGGACAGAGTCTTCTTATCAGCCAGATTTGGTTTCAAAAAAACAAATGGAAGGCAACAACAGAGCTACTAAAAATTGTTTTTCTCCCTGACTGCTCTAGTTCTGTTCCTGGAAAATCCTGTTTTTCTTCTCCTCCAGGAAGAGGGAAGCCTGAGACTGAACTTGTTTGCTTCTATGGAGGGTTTTATTATTTTTAAAGAGGCAAAAGGCATCTGAAATCCAATCTTGTGTTTATGCTGTTAGCTGCAAGAGTTTCCTCCTTGGATCTCACCCAAAAATTTGTCCCTCTGCCTGAGGAAGGAGTAGAGAACAAAACTGTGGCATAAGTATAACTTGTTTTAATATACAGATGATCACCAATTTATGATTGATCACTTAGCAATCATTCAAAGTTACAACAGATCTCCCCAGGCCTTCTTATGACCCAAATTCACATTTTGGGCATTCACTGCCTAGACTGCATTTATGATTGTTCCCACAGTCGTGGCACCACAAATTGCAACTTTTTTTTTCTTGGAAACCAGCATTTACTTTTGATTTCCAACCAAAAACACCCATTGCAGACAATGGATTCACTTAATGACCGCTGCAAAAGAGTTTACAAATTGGGCACATTTATGTGGTGACCCACATCATGACCAGCACAACTTAAAAACCGTAATTATGGATATAAGTTAGTAGTAACTAAAAGTAGTTCTTTACTTTTATAAGTAGAATTACCTTTATTTTACTAGGATGGATTAGAAACAACAGTTTGGCTTGATGAGTGAATACAACCAAATCAGGTGTCCAGTAAAAGCAACAATGAAGTCAAAATGATATTTGAACTTTCTTTTGCTCATAGTGCAAGTACATAATTTGCCTCATTTATAGTATGACATCATGATTTATGCGACATCATTTGTCTTCCGCAGGTGACCATGGAGGCTTTTGAACTATGAGATCTGTACGTGAACAACACTGTCTTGCTTTTCCATAGTTTACTGAACAAAGTTCAACTGGCAGGGATCCGTGGAAGCTGTTAAGCTGCCAATCATAATTTATTTACCACAAATGCTAGTTTTGTATCAACTTCTAAACCAAAACCAAACTGGACATGTTTTGGCTTAGCGTGTGGTAGAAACCCATCATATTGGAGGGTCCTAGTCTAATAAAAGATGTATTAAGTGAAGATTATGGAGTTGTTTTCAGCTATAGACACTGTATTCAAATCATAGGTTAACCAGGTCCGTTAAAGTGGTATTAACAGTACAACAGAATTGGAAGGGGCCTTTGAGATCTAGTCCAATCGCCCAGCTCAAGCAGGAGAACCTATACCATTCTGGGCAAGTGGCTCTCCAATCTTGTCTTGAAAACCTCCAGTGATAATAGTTGGAAGGGACCTTGGAGGTCTTCTAGTCCAACTCCCTACTCAAGCAGGAAACTGTATACCATTCAGACAAATGGCTGTCCAATCTCTTAAAAACCTTCAGTGATGGAGCACCCACAACTTCTGAAGGCAAGCTGTTCTACTGATGAATTGTTTTAGCTGTCAGGAAATTTCACCTTATTTTTAGGTTGGATTTCTCTTTGTTAAATTTCCAACCATTACTTGGTTGGATAAGAAGCAATAGGTGGAAATTAATCAAGGAGAGAAGCAACTTAGAATGAAGGAGAAATTTCCTGACAGTTAGAACAATTAATCAGTGGAATAACTTGCCTCCAAAAGCAGTGAATGCTCCAACACTGGAAGTTTTTAAGAAGAGATTAGATAACCATTTGTCTGAAGTGGGTGTAGGATTTCCTGCCTAAGCAGGGGGTTGGATTAGAAGACCTCCAAGGTCCCTTCCAATTCTGTTATTCTATACTTCTTGTCCAGCCCTCACATGTTTTGGAGAATAGGCTGACCTACTCCTCTCTGTGGTAGTCCCTCAAATATAGGGAGACTTCTAGCATCACCTCTATTCCAAACTGAAGATATCTTGGTGCCATCATGCAAACAATAGGATTTGGGTTATCTTGATGACAGATGCTGATTGCATAGTTTCTGTCATTTGCACAATGAAGTCATGCTGTGCACGACTTCACTTGCTTCCCTCCCCCATAGACGCATAACAAAGCCACCTTCATTTGTTTTCTTCTTGGCTATATTTTTAGTTCAGTGTCTTAATTAAACCCAGCCCACAGTTTGTGATTCAGCGTATTTTGCAAGCCTACAAAAGGGCTGAAACAGCTTTGCATAACAGCTGTTATACAGATCTAACCATTTGGCTTCCATAGATAAGTAGATAGATTGCATTTTCTGTCCCAAACTATCCCCATCCATTCCTACTAAATTTCAAGAGAGACTTGTTTGTGATAAAGCTGAATTTGCAATCATTTGCTAAATGGTATGGTTTTGTGGAAAACCTCCATTAGGGGAGATTCATTGGTCTTGCATGAATGCAGAGAATTATCTTCCCTTTGGAAATTTCCCAAGCTTTCTATATTTTCCTAAGGACAAAGAAACTGTTAAAGAAAGCAAATCACTTGGGTAATCACATATTATTTTATTTTGGCGACCTGTCTCCAAAGCAATTAATGGCTGCTCAAAGAATAGAAGAAAATACAAATACAATTATATAAATAGCAGTCTGGATCACAATACAGGTAAGTCCTTTCTTAATGATGGCAACTGGGAACAGCAACTCCGTCAATAAGCAACATGGTCATTGAGCAAGACATCACATGACAATGAAGGACTTATGAATTAACTTCCACAGTGGTGGTTAAGCGGGGCATCATGTGACTGCAACTTGTTGACTTCTCCTTTGAACTCTTGGTCGGAAGCCAGCTGTGAAGCATGTAAATGATGGTCTTATGGCCATGGGACACTGCAATGGTCCTAAACACATTGTGAATAGCCTGAGAGTACTCAAGAGCCTCCATCAAAGTAGAAGACCCTCTCTCTCTCTCTCAAAGAGGTTGGCACTATCACATGGATTGAACTACAGGCTACAGCCTGGCTATCTTAATCCAAGAGGAACTTGGATCCCACACAGACAACTGAGAATGTCCAGTTCAGTGGTGAAATCCAGCTGGTTCTATCCGGATCATGCAATCCAGTAGCGTAGGCTGCAGGAGGCTCCACCCACCTGCCCAGATGTCATCACGTCCCGTTTTTGACCTGTGCATGCACAGAAGGCTCTGCACATGCATGGAGGAGGCACATGCTCACATTTGCGAACCGGTAGCGAAGATAAGTGAATACCACCCTGGTCCAGTTTCTCATGAGTCACCACCTCTCACTCAACCCAGATCATACAAGACCTCGCTCCTGGTCTGTCCAAGTCTTCAGCATGAATCTGAGTAACGTTATTCATCAAACAGGCAAATTATTGCATACAGCAGCCTTGCAGGGACCGAATCAACACAAAGAGAGCCACTGGGCAGTTATCAACTGATGCAATAAGAGTGGACAAATCTTAATGCTTCAACACCTTTGATCACCACAATCTCTATAACATCATCTATAATATGGGCTCTTACCCATATTTAATCAGTTTTACAGCGAGTCTTCCTCTGATAATTCTCCAATCGTCTCTTCTGGCACTTCTGGAGCTACTCAGTAAATTAATTTTTTGCCTGAGCACAGTGTACAGGGAGAAGTGGTGATGGGGTGATGAAGTCCAAGGTGACTGACACCCACCAGTTCCAGATGGTGACCAAGGACTTGATCAAATCACCCACCGGATCCTCATAGAGAACTCCAGTCTCTGTCATAAGATCCACCTGGTGCCTGAGGCAGGCCGATCAAATAAGCTCTGTTTTCCCATAATTGAAGATGGCACCAGTGACTGAAAGTAATCAATGATCTGACCACCACAACAGATGTGTTAATCTCCACTACCAGATCACATCACAGCTGTCCTAAGACAAAGAAACTGGATCCAATATATAGCTGCTGGTATGCAGCTGCTGGTATGCATCGGGTTGTCTATGACTTGAGGCAGGTCCACAGTTACCATAGAAGCCATAAACTTCTGAGCTTCCTTGTAATCAACACCACCAACTGCAAATTGAAATCCCCAAACATCCAAACCTCAGGGATTGTATTGCCAGCCTGATACTGGCATCCAGTAGCCCAGGCAGGAATACTACTGGGCAGCAGGGAGGGCAGTATACTAGCAGCAATTTCATCTGGTCCCTAGTGGTCCAACCACAAGGATTTACAGCCTGTTATCTGTGCAGCAGGGCACCTGAGAACCTTCGTGGATTAAAAACAACTCTTGTCCCCTCCCTCGGTGTCTGTTGATGCACGACCCGAGACTCAGGTGGACACAATACTGAGAAAGAATATCCCTTGTGCCTTTTCCTTTTGGGATAAGCAACGCACCAAAAAAAAAGGGAAAAAAACAAGAAACGGACAAAGAAATGAAAGGCAGGAGATAAAATAATTAAAATGTGTTTGCACTAACCTAGTCGCTCCCCGTCTCCATACTTATCTACTCTTACAAACTACCTTTAAAACAGTTTCTACCCATTTTCTGTCTGAGGAATTCTGCGTCAATAAAAGCCGTAACATTTGGCAATAATTTGTAGGGTTTGTAAATGTATATGGAGGTTTCTATGGTGCAAGCAAGGGAGAATTGTAATTCAGTCTGCAACACCTTTAAAACATATTTCTATGCTATGCCGATAATTCTGGATGATTAATGGATAACAATTGCTGCCAGGAACGTTGCAGGGCATGCAAACATATATCCCAATCTTATGACCAGCTTGATCACGTGGATGCATTGAGAGTCCTCAGAAGAATTGAAATCAGCTTGAGGTTTAAAAACAACAGCACATCACTTGGCAACGGGGTAAAAAAACCCTACTCTATGGAAAGAAGTATCTGTGTGTTTACAAAAGAGCTATTGTGTGCAGTCTTGTACACCATGAAAGAAGACGATTGCTTTGATTATATCAAAAGGTTTCTAGGCAATAAGAAGCCAAATAAATTTTCTAGGCCTGTCTTGTTTGTCTCCTAAGAAAAAAGAGTTGACAATACATAGGAAATTGCTGTATTTCTTCTATTTGTACTCAGAAGTACCGGTAACCACTTTCACTACATGTGTGGAAGGGAGGTTGTTTTCCCAAAGAACAGATAATCCTTGATTTATGACCAAAATCGGTGTGAGAATTTCCAATGCTGCGTGAATTATGCCCAATTTTACGATCTTTTTTGCCACAGCTGTTAAATGAATTGCTGCAGTTGTTATGTGAACCATGCCGTCGTTAAGCAAATCCAGCATCCCCCCATTGACTTTGCTTATCGGAAGTCAACTCGGGAGATCAGAAATGGTGATCACACGATCCTGGGATACTGCAAACACTGTAAATACATGCCAGTTGCCAATCACCTGAATTCTAATCACGTGACCGTCGAGATGCCGGGACAGTCGTAAGTGCAAGGACTAGTCATAAGTCCCTTTTTTTTCCAGTGCTGTTGTAACTTTGAACGATCAAAATGTTCCCTTGCTGGCTGGGGAATTCTGGGAGTTGAAGTCCACACATTTTTAAGTTGCCAAGGTTGAGAAAAACTGGACTACATATATTTGTGGAAACCTCTTCAGCAAAAACCATTGTTTTAGCTTTTGGTCTAAAATGTGCATTTCTGTGCCAAATTATGCTTTTGTAATTATCTTATTCTTTGGAAAATACTCCTGTGGGCTGATTATTGATTGATTGAGGTTCTTCAAACCTTACAAATCTTATTTATAAGCCACCCAAAATCACCGAGAGTGAGTGGCTCGCCATATAAATCTTCTAAATAAATAAAATTAACACACGTAGCCCTGCTTAATTTTTAGAACCGAGTGGCCAATGCTTCTTTCTTTTCTTCCTGCTACTTTGGCAAAACACACAGAGCTCTTCTGATATTCTGATGGAAAGTGAGTTGAGATGATCTAATGGTCTGGAAATGACAGCAGGGGAGCTGGACATGTCCAGTCAAGTCTCTTTGGACAGGCCTAAATGAACTCAATCCCTGGTTGAAATGTCTACAGTGCTCATTTTAAAAGCTAAAATGCGGAAGATTCCAGAAAAAAATGGAATAGGTTTCAAAGAGATTGAACAGAAAAATCAGGGGTGAAATCCAGCAGGTTCTGACAGGTTCTGGAGAACCAGTACCGGAAATTTTGAACAGTTCGGAGAACCGGCAAATAC